ATCAATAAGTAGCTCTAATAGTATCGCAATTTAAAAACTATCAACTTTCTATATGGACGTTAGCTTCCTCTATCAGGCTTGAGCTTCATCTCTTACTCTTTTCTCTCCGGTGAGAAGGGATCTTTCATCTTCTCAGGCATGAGCTTCATTATAACATCATGATTTTTCTAATCCTATAATTAGTTATTAATCAAGGGTAAATTAATAATTAGTAAATGATTAAAGATTTGGATGATAATGTGACAATTTGACTCATTGAGATGTTTAATGAGCAGATATGGATGGAAGAATTGCAACTCGAAGTAAAGTATGTGTGTGCAGTAAGGATTTTCCTCACGATGCCATAGCCACGGCACAGAAAATCAGATAATAAGTCATGAGTCAATTGGTCAGGGTAGAGAGCAAAGAAAGAAAAGAATAAGAGGAGAGCAAAAAGAAGGGCTAGTCTGCTAGGGCATTAATTCTTAGGGCATTGGAAGGCATTTTCAATCAATAGCTTATCGAATAAGCCTCATACAACTCTTAAATTCGATTCTATTATAAATTCTCTTAGTATAAGTTATAGAGAAATTAAATCAAGAAAATTTATGGGGTTAGTTTCTTATCTCATAGTAATAAAAAGGTTCTCAAAAGTTAAATTAAAACTTTGTGACTGCTTTAGGGTTAAACAATAAAACTTTAAAACTATAGGCTTCAATTGACCCTAAATCAAATGAAAATGAGGTGTAAATAGAGTAAAAGTAAAGTAGGATCATTAGAAGTGATATAAAGTAGTGATCGAGTGGTAATGAACTTAGATTGACTAAGTAAAAAAAATAGATGGCTAGTTATAGCCTTAATTAACAATTAAGTATTTTTGATCAATTGGATCAATTGACTAATGGTGCTAATTGTATGTAGATTGGCGTATTCCACGAGTAAGTTAAGAAAGGAAGCTTGTAGAGAGCTTTATTAATTATTGAAATCTATGGGTAACCTTTCTTATGACAGAAAGGTTGAAGTAATGAAATAACTTTCTCTAGTTGATTATCTTTTGTAACTGTTTGAAAATATGAACATTAATGCATAAAAATGTTTTAGAATAAACATGTTTAATAAGTGAATGTTTATTGTATGAAAACAATTTCTAAGAGTCAAGTTTATGGAATTGTATATTTTATGATTATAAATGTGTGTGTGGTTTTATAAAGATGAGAATATGGTTCATATGGAAGCATGATCTTAGGGGAGGGAGTTCACCTATAGGGAGAAGTAGTAAAAGATCATATGGCATATTTTTTTAGTTTCTGAGGGGGTATAGTATTGGAGATTATCTCTTTAGTACCTATTAAGGTGTGATGTTGGAGATTTGAACTCCTTAGTATTGATATGATGTGGTGTTAGAGTTAACAACATCTCATTATATGTGATGGGAGAAACCATAATCCAAAGTGTGATAGAACACCTTTGGCTAGGTGATTCTTCCACTGAATGTGAGCTTAAGGCCAATGCATTAGTCTAAGATGAGCTTATAATTTTAGGTCGGGGTGATTTGAAGGTTCTGATAGTAATGATCATGCTATGTGCTATATTAGTGGTGAATGATTATGGAATGACTTGTGAAAGTAGTGAAATAATATATTGCCTATGTTCAAATATATATTGTATAATACTTGCTTGTGGATGCATGCGATAATTAATAGTAGAGAGTTATTTTATCACTGAAATTATTATCTAACCCCTATGGTTACATTTTTACAGGTTAGAGTAGTAATCAAGGTAAGAAGAAAGACTCAAAGCCGGCTTAGAGTTGATAAAGCTATGCATTCTAAAGTTTTGTGTAATGAACTTAAACTAGTATAAATATTGTAAATACAAGTTGTCATAGGATTGCATGTATGTTTTAAGTAATTATAAGTATTGAATTGTTGAGATTTGTAATGATTTTGTCAATCTTAACCCATATATATGAATATGTGGTGAAATAAGTAATATGAGATAGAATTTAGTTGTGAATGTATTACATATATGGAGATATGTGATTAAGTAGTGAAATTGTGGTGAGAATGTCCAAACTAGTGTTTTTAAGTAAAGTTGTGATATGTGAAAATGAGCTGTTGAACAATGAAATTTTAATGTGTATATATAATGTGAATTGTGGTCAATCAAGTGTATTAAGTCCTTTTAGGCTTGATTCAAAGCCTAGAATGGTTTAACGAGACAATATGATTGATTTAAATGCTTAAGTGCCCAAAATTTTTAGAAAAAATAACTTTTTACACTTGGGTGTCCAAATTTTAATCGATCATTGGATCGTGTCTAAACTTATCTCATTAGTTAGCTTATGAAATAAGTTTTGTGTGGGCATTTAAATCACTCCAATTGGATGTCGTATGTGGAAACAATACACGCTGAAGATTCATATTACTAATTGTTAAATGACAGTTGCAAAACTGTCATGTGTGTCGCGGAGTAGGGCCTACTTACGCCACAGCACAAGACACAGAGGGAAACTAATCATGGCTTTATGCCACATGCCACGATGCATATGATATATGCCGCAGTGTATGGCTCAATTTTTAACTTTATTTCTTTGTTTTTAAAAACATGCATGGACTCTAATGAATACATATGTTATCTTCCACTATACTATGCTCTATTTGGTGTGAGTTAGCTGAGAATTATGATGATTTTCAAAATGAGTCTTAGGTCTAAACTTTTTAAACAAAGTATTTGAATACAATTTGGTTTTATTAGTGTGGTGATTATGCTAATCCTCTCTTTATATCATGTTGATATAAGGGAGGGTTACATCCATCTCTCTCTTAGGTGAATCACCATCTCTCTCCGTTCACTCCAATATAAAATCAAATTTGAGATTGCCCGAACCCCGTCGGCCTTAGATCCTCTCTTCTCTCTATTCCTCATTCTTCCATGGAGTATATCATTAGCCAAGACACTAAAGGTCTTGTGGATTACGGCACAGGAATCTCTAGGGATGGTGTTTTGCCTAGGGGATTTAATAAAAGAAAAAGGAAAAAAGTAGAAGATGGATGACGCCGCTGGAGGAATCTTTAATAGCTTAATTATATTATAAGTTGTATTTTCAGCTTACTAATCTTCATGGAGATTTCTACTGGTGCAGTTCTGCTCCTCGATTTTTTTGTGCAAGGGCATGTAAGTCTTTTCATATTATAAATACATATATTAATTAAAAATCATATTATATTCCCGCCATCCTACCCATCATATTTTTAAACTCACTTCTATTTTCAGTTCTAATTTTACTTTCAATTCTTTTAAAAACTCTTTCACAATGTCAAATGAGGCATGATTGTTTTCATGATGAAATTATTATTTTGAAAGACTTGTGATTGTATTCTAAGGAACTAAAATTTTATCTTTCACTGACAATTTAGAAAGATATTACTGAGTTAGTACAGGCTAGGGAGCAATTTTAATTTAAAAGTGACCTTGAATCTTGTGCATAAATTTAGAAGTCACGCGTTGAGAATTTCTAATTTCCATTCCTAGTTCTACAGTCAGAATCAAGTCCATAGCATGACTCCATAGCATGAAACCTCGTGAGTTCATCTAGAAAAAAGGGCAGGAATTACATGACTGAAACTTCCAATTATCATCCCCAACTTTGCTGGTCAAAATCCTTACATGTCATTACTCAATTCCAGATTTTAAGGTTCGTCTTTGTATTTAACATTTTTACATGGCCTACATTCTCAAAGCAGATAGCTGAGCAAATTAACTAGCTCATTATGTGAATCATGAAGCATAAGATAATGTGAATCATGAAATGTCATAAAATAATGAGAATCGTGAAGATTTTAAGTGACTCAACAATGTAGTATGTGAATCTTCTCATCGTTGATTTAAGCTGGTTTCGCTTTTCGCTTGACCTAGCCATGGCCATATTTTTTTTTAAAAAAAGTACGTTACATCCTCTGTACCTGCCATTTTCCCTTAAAATTTTATTCTAACAATATTTTTAAAGAAAAGAAGAATAATAGTTTTATTGTCAAGATAATTATTTTTTTTAAAAAAAATCATTTTGAATTATAATCATAAAGCTTGATGATAAATGTTAAAAAGTTTAGGAAGCTTCATTGTTAACAAATTACCATTATGTGATTTATTTTGTGATTGATATAGACATAATAATACCCATCTAATTTTAGGTTAGGGGCCTTTAATGTGTCCCTTTTCTAATATCTCTTAAAATTTCAACTTTTTAATTTTATTTATTTATTTATTTTTGAATCACTGGCTTCTAAGGATGAATCTACGGCGAGCTACTTGGGAACAAGAATGAAAAAATATGAGAGAGACAAGGGAGCCAAAAAATCTTCAATGTTTTTTTACATGCAGAATACCTAGAAATTATAGCAAAATACGAAAGTGTTGGGGGCCCCCTGCCTCCCATAGTTTCGTCACTGTCAGCTTTTACATAAAATAAAAAATATTTTGATATCTTGATATTTTAAAATAATAAAAATTTATATTTTTTACAAAATTTTTTTAAAAATATAAATTTTCACCATTCTAAGATATCATGATATCTTTTATTTTATATAGAAGCTAATGATATAAGGAAAAAAAATGAAAAAAAAATTAAAAAGTTAAGACATTATAAAGAATATTAAAAAATGGCATATTAGAGACTCTTCGCTCTCTAATTTTCTGCTCCATGACATGACACTTTCAATTAAAAGATACTTTATAAATAGTCCTTTCTATGAACATTAGACTTTTAATAAAAACATCAATATGTCATCAGTTCAAAAACAAACTCATCCTAAAAGATTATGCTGTTTGATGAGAGAATCTCTTATATATACTTACAAATTTTATTCAACTTGTGAAGCTCCTGTAGTGGTCCTCATTACAAATGATTTATCTGACAATTCGAGTGGCATATATATAGCGCTCAGACTCACAGGGTGTGTTTTTATTGTAATCCATGGACGATGACACGAGTACAGACATACCTGATCAAGAAGATAAAGTGAGTTGAAATTAACTAGTCATAACACGTCATAATTATATATCCAAAAAAACTCTGTACCAAATTAACATTAAACATGTATCATAACAAAAAATGAAAATTAACCCAATCGAAACATTTCAGGAGGGACAAAGAACAAAAAACGAAAGAGAAGAAAGAAAAGTGGATACATAGGGTCCCTCTAGCTTGAGACACAACCGAGTAAAGCACACGAACTCGAATGCACGTGCATGACCTTTTCAAGCCCATCCATGCAGATCAAACCCTTCTTCGCTCTCAATTTTTAATTTTTTGTTAAAATGTCTCAGAATGCTTTTTGGTAATCACTCAACACGTGGATGCTGCTGGTCTCGTCATCATGGATTCATGGTCTCCTTCTGGCTGGATTAGTTCCATCAAAAAGCTCGTCGATTAAGGTTTCTATATCATCAGCCTGATATTTTATGTACTTCTCTGTCTGTCTTCCTGGGTCCAAATACTGAGAATACCTCCCCAAGAATGCTCTGTATGCCGGAATTACCACCCCCGTTATCGACACCCGCAGCTCCGACTGAAGCTGTTCGTCGTTCACAATCCACGTGCTCTGCGTCCTGTGTATCTCGTCGAATATTGCGTTGAAGCTCTTGAACCTCTCTTTGAGCACTGGCTTCTGCACCTTCCCGTGCGAACTGAGACCCTCTGGGGTGAGACAATTTAGAATCTTACTCCATGTTTCTCTTACATAATTCTTATGGTACGACCTTAGATCCGACGACCTCTTCCTACACCACGTCTCTCCCATCAAGCTGTACATCTCTCGCGACCCTTTGATCTTTTGGAGCATGTACCTCCCATTGTTCATCATGAAGATGCAGCTCAAGGCCACATCCCTGTACAGCTTTGCCTTCCCTTCCAGATTTGTGTCCAGGTGAGACATCAGCCTAATCACCTGTGCCGCAAACGGCGTTTCCTGCTCCGTGCCGGTATTGTTGGCGTTAACATTCTGCTGAGAATTCCCATCCCCATCGTAGTGGGGCCTGCTGGTCGAGTCGGCGCGTTCAATCTTCGAGTGCTCCTTGAACACTTGCTCTAACGTTTCCTTGTACTCGCATGCGAATGGAAGGTAGTTCATGAAGTAGCGTGTCAATGGATGAACCGCACCTCCGGGAACCAAAGTTTTCTCGGCGTCTGTCTTGATTGCGTTTTCTAGATCACCGAATGTGCTGATCACGTTCTCGCCAAGTCTGCTTTTCGTCAACGTTGTCTCGGTCTTGAGCTCGTTCGCATACTCTTCCGGTAACAGTTCCTCGAAACTGGGGATTGCATCCCGCAAGGTCTCGTACATGTCAAGGGTTTTGAATAGCTTCTCCGCGGCGCGCTTCGTCATGGCCACCCCTTCCGCGAAATTGAGAAGCTGCATGACAATGCACCGAGAGAGATCGCTATATAGGATAACTGATAGCGACGGATTTTCTTCAAACACCGACTCTGCCAGCTTCTGTTCACCGGCCAAGTAGACGGAGACAAAGTCCTTGAAGGTTTTGATCCACGCGGGGATGTCTCTCTCCAGTATTTTCCATTGCATTCTCAAAATCTCGTCGATGCTCATTTTCTCGAATCCTATTTTTTGCAGGTTCTCCTCCAATGTGCAGCTCCTGCAAATCGAATAAATCTGGCCGCACTCGTGTTGGAAACCAACTGATGTCATCTCTTTTGTTATTTGTTTCAATTTTGCAACGATCTCATCGGGATAACTCGGAAACTCGGGCTCCAACTCGATGAATTCTGGTTCCGACAACTGGTTCCTATCTTGCTCTACTTGCTTCCCGTGACCACCGGCGTCAGATTCACCCGGATTTCGAGATTCTTCCATAAGGAATCGAAACTCTTCCTCGAAATACGACATGGCTCGATGCTGAAGGGTACCGATGTGATTGACTAACAAATCCTTTCGTGTACTGATCTCTTCCGAGGAGGTTTCCGACTGGCTCAGCAGTTTCATTAATTTAGAAATCCGATGCAAAGCTCCTAACAACGACGAATCTTCCTCTACAGCCTCACCCCATTTGCCTTTACTTCCACCCGAGTCGTACAGGGAGATTTTTTCTTCAACGAGTACCAAGAACTGGTCAATGAAATCAGGGATCTCTAAAGAAGGTTCTTCGACATCTGCATTCTTGGTGAGTGTCTCAAGATATTGATCAACATCTCCTGAAATATTCTTGAGGCTGGGAGGGGGAGATTCTGCAACCTCAATTGGAGCATCTTCCTCCTCCTTCTCAACGGCCGGTTCGCTCTCTGTATCCGCATCAAGCGGCTTTGCATCATCATCCGTTTTGGCTTCAACCTCTTTCGCATCGGTCTCCCCGGAATCTGGTAAAGGCGCACGTGGTGTCTCGCTTTCATTCTTCTTCTCGTCAATGCGAGCACAACTGCCGGATTCAGTGAGGTTCTTCTCCATTATGATTGTGAAGGTAAGAGAATTGCTCCAATAAGAGAACTTCGGAAACAGAGAGGAATTAACCGTTTTTCTTTTTCTTTTTTCTCCTTTTTTTTTTGGTTTTTTGGGTATGATTCTTGGTGTGATTGTGTTTTCAGGGGATAGGATGGAAATGGTCGTTGTTGGTTTTTCCCTTGTTAGGGCGCATTTCTGCACGAGAGGAGCAAGGGAAACGAACGGCCAGAATCTTGTGTTCGAGCTTCCGCGAGAGACAGGTACAAAGAAGATGCAAAACTGTTAAGTCGGTGTTGACCGTTGACCTTATTTTTCTCAAGCTAGCATCGTTGTGCCCCCACTACTTACATTTTGCGGTGTGCAATGCGCGCCACTCACAAATTAGTTTGGGCCCGGGTAAAAACAATACGGTTCGGTTCAGACCAGATCCAGATCCAAGGAATCTCACTGTCGAACAAGGAGAGCGCGTGGATGGTTGATCCTCCCAGGGCACAGGCGTCGCACGACCCATGGAAAAAAGCCGAAAGAGATACACCTCACTCGGCATCAGTATTGTTCTGAAGTTGAGATCCAGTTGATAGGGAAGCGGAGCTCCGAGCGTTCAGTTGTGGAAGAAAATGAAGTTAGGAAGAATGAGAGACAAAGAGAAAGGGAGATATGGTGGAGTTAGAAGGGGGCAAACGCTGCAACCATTTCTTTTTTTGTGCGCATTGGTGGCTGGTTTTGGCCTGTTGATGCTTTCGCTTAAACCGTTGGATCCTCCAATTGTCGTGGATTTCCCCATAACGGTTGGGCTTGGAGATTCGAAAATCTCAAGTTTTGATGGTGGAGCTGTGGCGGCCCTGAGCGCTTCGGGAACAAGGTAGAGAAATCGTGCGCTACGGTAGAAGAGATGGGACACGATTTCAGAAGCGTTGCTTGGAAGGAAACCCTGAGAGTGAGAAGAATTATTGAAAATCATTTTCTTGTGAATGGTACTGGGACTAGTTTTTATCCTGTATGCAAGATTTGTTGGCTTTACTCGGCACTTAGATATCCAGGACCATAAGCAGGATGCATGTGCTGCTTCTTACTTTAGGTAGCTCAATTCTTTTATGGAGCATAATTTTGTTAGGAGTAGTTGCATTTGGAGAGCAAGTAGCAAGAACATTTTAACAAACTGCGCAAAGCTTTGTTAATTTCGAATATCTGTGGTTGTTGTGTTAGCATGCTTCGATATAAATATTGGGAACTTAATGATTTACTGACATTAGCATATCCTTGGTAAGATTCTTCATTAAGAAGGTTGTTGTAGCTGCGGGTTTACGCATCATAACTAGGACACTAGGAGTCTAGTAGTGATCTAGGGAGTTCTTACTTACATTTTCAGTCCATCTAATTTACTCGAGCGAGCAATTCAGACCTTTGATTTCAATTCGAGCAACGTTATTCCTCAAATTTATTTATTATTTCAACTTCATCCCTCATTTCTACTGATACATTCTTTGTCCCTTAATTATTTAAATTGCCTTAATGAAATAAATAGAGATATAATATAACCTTAGCGCTAGAAGAACTAATAAATATAGAAAAGGGCAAAATTGCTCTAATCGAAACAAGAGAGAAAATTACTCTCTAAGTTAGATGGAATAAAAGTGCAATTAAGCTTATTTTGTCCTTTGTGAACACAGTAGACATCAAGGTCATATCCAGGTACCTACCAGTGGCATTGGAGGCATGAACATCTGAAAAGTGGCATTATGTCTTTTTTTTTTTTTTTGGAGTAGTTGTCAAATCAGAAGATGACATTGATTTGTTTTGTTTCAGGGGCGTCAAGAATCAGGGATCTTCCCCCAGAGCAATTCTGTAGTCATGGTTTTGTTCTGGGTAAGACCTCAGAGGCAGGTTTTGGGAATGAAATGTACAAGGTGTTAACTGCTGCAGCACTGAGTGTGATGTTAAACCGGTCCCTTATCATTGGTCAAACCAGGCATATTGGTTCTTCCTCAAGCCTTTCTTTTTCCAATTCAAGAACTCAACGTCGCTTTCTTGCTGACAACCTGTTTCTGATGGACATTTCCTTTTAGAGTTTTCAGTCACTGGCTCTTACATCTATTTTAACTTTTAGAAATATCTTGTCCCAGAAATATTGTGCAATTACAAATACAAACCTAGTTTTATACAATTTTGACATTTACATCAGTCACGCGTTTTGATTTCTTGCTTAAAACTGACTGACAGTTCCATTTTGAGCATTCATTTGCTATGGTTCTTCTGTCTGCATTAACTTTTTAAAGTGTTTCTGATACCTAAAACATTATGCAATTACAATCACCAATCTAGGGTAATGAAGCTTTGACATATTGCAAGTTTTATGGCCGCTGAAGTGTGAAAACCTATTGCTGTCTGCCACTGATGGGTTTGCGAAACTACTTTAAACATGCAAAATTTCATGTTATAATCAAGTAAAATATTGCTAATTATAGCTTTTCTCCCCATTATCTTATGCTAGCTCTCTTCTATGTTTCAGTGGCAAGTATCCTTTCGGGGATTACATTTCTTACCCCAACTTTACATTTACGATGAAAGAAATTAAGCATTTGTGGAGACAAAATAGTTGTGAGAGCAAATATGGGAGGCATCTTATTATGAGAACTGATGATTTTGAAAAGCCGTCTGAAACAAATGTGCTTTGTAGCAATTGGAAGAAATGGAAGCAACCCATTATATGGTATAGTGAGAATGCCATCTCTGCTTATCCATTTCTCAAGCTTTGTCAAATGACAAATGACTAATAAAGTATGTTGTAGGTTTCAAGGAACCACAGATGCTGTGGCAGTACAATTTTTCTTGAAAAGTATTCACCATGAGATGAGAACTGCTGCTTCTGATTTATTTGGTGACCCACTAGTCCTAGGGTCACGTCCTAATGTATTTGGGGAGCTAATGAGAGTTCTCATATCCCCTTCCAAAGATGTCGAAGCAGCTGTCAATTGGGTTCTCGGTGGCAGGGAAGATCCTGACATTTCACTGCACATGCGAATGCTTATGAATAGGTAATGCAAGATACCCATTAATTAATTTTATTGAATGGGAGGTATAATATTATGCTCGGTTGATGAATGAGGCTGGGTAAGCGTATCATCTCATATATTTCCAGTTTTTATAATAATTTTTCTCAAGAAGTATACAAAGGAAAAATCCACTTTCAGCAAAACACGGTGTAAGGTAGGAAAAGGATTTTGAATTATTGATTTTTCACATCCGTACCCCTTGAATGCTGGGGAGGAGTATATTTGATTCTTCATTAAATGCGCATAATGCTTAGTTAACGTAAAAGATTCATGGTGTATCTCAACCTTTTCTTCGGAAGCGGCTTTAACTAATTGATAGTGGTTTGCATCCTATGATTCAGGTCTGTGAGAGCTGTACGAGCAGCATTACGGTGTATTAAAAAAGCCATTCAAAATCAACATCTAATATCCAGGTCAAAGGTGGTTTTGGTGTCTGATACGCCTTCTGTTGTTAAAAGTATGATTCGCAACATAAGTGAATTTGCTGAGGTAATCTCTTGATACTTATCGTGTGCTTAGCATGCAGATGCTAGTGTGCGTCTCTCTGGAGCATGGATGAAAATTTTTTTCACCTGCCACTAGTCAGTGACACTGAAATTACTTTTCTGAACTTTAAACTGAAAATATGTTATTTTCCTTGTTGCTAATTTCATATGTTCAATAATGATTTGCTTGATTATTTACTTTTTCACTGTCTACTGTTGACCCATAGGCTAAAGCTCACTTTCTAAAAAAATGAAGAAAAAGAAAAAGTACACTTTCCTCATTTAAGTTCGAGTTTAGTTTTGGCCTCAGTGTTTTATATACTCAATTTTGCTTGGATGAAGTGCACTTTGGCTTTTTCCAAACAACAATAATCAAATAAAACATTTAGGATGATATTAGAACTAATCTAATACTTAGGGGTCAAAAAATGCACTCTGGCCTTTTCCAAACACAAAAGCACGAGGAATTTAGGTGCCTTTTGACGCTCGCTCATATGTGCTCCCCCAGGTTGTTCATTTCGAATATGAACATTTCAAAGGTAATATACATAAAGAATTGCTGAAATCAGATTTTAGAGTGAAGGATTGGGGTTCAGCACCACGATGGGTTGCTTTTGTGGACTTTTTTCTTGCATCTCGTGCAAAATATGCTGTTGTTTCTGGAGCTCACCGTCGCGTTGGGACTACCTATGCTCAATTAGCTGCTGCTCTGGCTGCAACACGAAATCTGGGTACTCCCCCTATCATTTCCTTTACAGATATAGACATTCATGCACATATATTTGTGCGTGTGTTACATTCTGCAGAAGGATGAAACATTTGATAATTGTTTCTTTCAGGGGATAATTCGACTGGTTCAAATTTTGCATTTTTCAGCAGTTTCCAGAGTAATTTGTTAACGGCAGGTCTGAAGAATCAGATCGGCTGGGGTCACGTGTGGAACAGATTTGCTGGTCCTTTGAGTTGTCGTAGCCAGGCCAATCAGTGCGCCTTCACTCCACTTCTTCCTCCAGCTTGGTGGGATGGCCTTTGGCAGTCTCCTATTCCACGGGATATTAATCGTCTGGCTTCTTATGGCGTTAAACTATCTGGCTTTGGTACTGTTAATGACGCCTCTCTTCAAAATTATTGTCATTCGAGGAAAAATGTTGTGAGAACCGTTAAATTCAAGTTGTAGTGTTTGGAAGTAACATTTGATTGTAATCACACTTTTTTTTGTTTTTGGGCCAGATGTAATGATATGCTTTAGGATTACCATGCTAGTAGCATGATAGAATGAATTAGTTACTCATCATTTCCTTTCAGCGTACAAGTGTCCCTAGTTTAGCTTGCTGACCGAAGCCTCTCTCTTTTTGTCTTTAAACTGTCTACTATCAAAGTTCTGCGCAATTTTTGGCAAGCACCGTAGACCTGTACATGAATTCTGAAATGACTTTTGAGATGACGCCTGTATTTGTGGTCCATCTCTGGGTAATCGATCGGAATTTATCGAACTAAATCATTATGGGAAATAGAAACGGTCCGATTTAAATTCGAGTAACCGTTACAGTGTGAATCCATGTAGGACTGACGAGTGGTTTCTAAACTGATACACTCCAGAGGCAGAGGCCTACAGAGTCGTTAGCCTGTACCTTCTCAAAGGAGATTAACGTATTGGGTTATGCTGCGGGGAGATTAAAGTATGTTAGTATGTTACTGTTCTTATCACTTTGCTGACGCATACATACATGCGGGCATCCGAAAGTACAACTGCCAATCCAGTCGATGCTGAATAAAAGCTGGCCTGGTAGCTTAGCCATGCTACTCGTCGTTTAACTGCCCCCCCCCCCCCCCCGAAAGATTTGAACTTTGACCGTAAAAAGCATTGCCTTTCTCTACACCGTTTTGACATTTTCTTTGTCTGTGGCTTGTGAACGAAGAATACAAAAGAAGCTGAATAATGCCAAATACTGGATTAGGTTGGAGTTTAGGTTAGCAATATCCACTAGCCGCCCATAAAGCAACTGCCCCGAACGACCAACTCTCTGGTTTTTTTTTTTTTTTTTTCGTCTCTCATGTTTTTAAAATGTCCTCCGTTTACTTGAGTCACCGTGTGTTTTGATTTTTCACTCTTAATTTATGACTTTTTAGGGCTGTTATATAATTTCTGCATTATCCAAATCTATGCCTCTTTTCTCATTCATGTTTTTCATCTTTTTACTGCAGCAAAATATCTAATTGATGGATAACTACTTTAATTAGAAGTTCGAGATTGTCTTCCCTTTTTTTTCCCTTCTAGAATTAAATGATAAATTAATTTTAAATTATAGGTACAGAGTTTTGAAATTCTAAACTTATTTTTAGAGTAACATCCTTTTTTAATTTTAAAAATAATACAATCTAATTTTTAACATTAAAAAATTAACTTTAATTATTAGTTATATTTAAAAAATGACACAAAATAATCTTAAAAATTATTTTAAAAAAAGCCAAAAATTGGGCCCAAAAAGTACAAATAGTAACCTAACAAATATAGAAAATGACCAAACAAATTTTACGGATATAAATGTTATATATATATATATTGTAATTTGTAATTTGCTCTTTTACCGCTTTCTTTAGATATAAATTTAAGTGTCACAGGCAAAGAAAGACAGGAAATCGAGGATAATGGGCATGAAGCACGTTATGGAAGTGACTGTAAAAAAAGATTTTACACTTCATAGCCTCGGCATTTAACTATTATCATGAGCATGCTGCGGAAAATCAATTTTTTGGAGAAGAAGAGATGAGATAATTTTCTCAGCCTAGTCTACTTGGAATGCCGCCATTGATACACAGGCTTTAGCTATCATCAACACGTACATGGAATATCGCAGTAAGTTAAAAGGCATCGTGTGGAGGACACAAGAGCAACCTATTGTGAGTGGCACTTGGAATCCACCTAAGGATAACAGGTTTAAACTTAATGTGGATAGTGTGAGTTGTAGAGGCGTAATTCGTGACTCCAAAGGAAAATTCAAATGTGGATTTATATTTAAAATGAGTGATGGAGACTCGCTTTATGTTGAACTTTGAGCTTCCTTCTGGAGTCTTAAAATGACTTAGGATCTTGGGTACAGAAAGCTCATTCAAAAGACAGATTCATGTGAAGCCGTTCGCATGACACATAAGGAAGCTCACCTTGACCATGCCTTTATGCAGTGTTGTTACTGAGATTAGATCTCTGCTTGCACATGACTGGGTTGTTATCATTCAAAGCATTTCCAGAGGTGCGACTTGGCAAAGCCGGCTCTATCCTGTATTAATGGATTCCATCCTTTGTCTTCTGCTTCAGTTCTTAACCAGGACATGAGTATTGTTATTTAGCCTGTTTCTTTTTGTTATCAGAAAAAAAAAAAAGAAAAAAGAAACTGAATGAGTAAGCTTAATTAGGCTATGTTTTACGAAATTTTGTATTCTATATTGAGGCTAGCTATATGATAAATTAATAACGTCAAATATATATTCTATGTATGATGTAAATTAACAGAAAACTGTACTGTGATAAATTAGTGAAACTCACCTTAAAATGGGGGAATTAATGTCAAGTCCCACACAGTAACTCTATTTACCCCAAGCTTTCATGGAATTCATAAATTGCTACCAAATCCCAAGTTTCTTAAAAATAAATAAATTTGTTTGTGCAATTACAAAAATGTCTTTATCTTATTTTATCTTTTAAAAAATATAACTTATTTATTACTGGTTGTCGGAGCTCTAGTTAGCCTACACCTATTTATCATTATCGGTCATCGACGACCAGAAATAAATATAATGAGTTATATTTTTTAAAAAAACAAAATAATAAGATAAGAATATTTTTAAATTGCATAGACAAATTTATTTATATTTAAAGGACATGTGACTAGATAATAATTATGGATTTCAGACTTTACAAAATAATTAAAGTTATTGTTTGGGATTTATAAGTAAGTCTTTCTAAAATTTAGTATAAGATCAGGACCCACAATTGTAAATTTATAAATAGTACTCAATATGTATTAAGAAATTTATAGTTTATACTTTATATTATTAAATGAATGTTTTCTATTAATTAAATTCAACTAATATTGGTGGGCGTCATAATGCACTACTACGTGGTAATTTGAAACAGTCAGCGAACGCACTAAAGCGGTCAATCATGGTGATTTCCAATAAGAGCGAGGCATGTCATTTTCTGTATGCTGTAAAGCGCAGACACATACAGTGACAGTAGCAGTAACAGTTAAGAGAGTCCCTCGCGCATCGCTCACCAAAAGCATGTATTGAATCACCAGCTCTGTAAGCGAAAGGCCAAAATTACCCTGAGCACTCGCTGCGCCTTGGCCCTACCTCTCATGCCTTGCCGCCGATTCACCACAATCCCCTCCTCCTCGCCGGTAATCCGAGCTATAAGGGTCTCTGCTTTCGTCCTCGGCCATGGATTTTGAACCATAGAGAGAGTCTTCAAGCTCTTGGTTTTGCATCTCTTGCGTTCTTCCTTCCTGGGTTTCGTTTCTGGGGTCACTGCGGATTTTATATTCTATTTGAGGATTCTGAGCTGACTGTGATCGGACTATCTTTTAGCAATACGGATATGTACGTGGTGCCTCCACCCCAGCGGTCCGATCCCGGCTCGGGATCCAGTGATTTGCGGGTTTACCAAACATGGAAAGGGAGTAATGTGAGTTCTAGTCCTGGATTTCTTTTATTTTTTCCTTTTTTCTTGACTTATTATTGGGCATCTGTTTCCCGCTTTCTGTCTGGTATATCGAATTCGTTGCAGCCCATATCACGATATTGTTCGAACTTAAGTAGTCCATTGCATTCTGCTCTCGGCAAATTTTTCTCTCGGTTCCCTCCGAAGTCTAACTTCTTAAATCAATCTCATTCTACTTTTAGCAAATCCCAGTATCTTTCCTCTCTTATCTTAAGTCCAATAATATCATAGGTGGATCCTCCTTCATTGATTGTTCATGTATTTTTTCCTCCCTTTATTCCGGAATCAATTTTATTCGATTTTACAGTAAGGGGGAGGGGTTCCAGGGTCTATGGTGATTTCAAACTCTGCAGAATGAGAGCAAAAGGGCTAAACAAAAAACAAGTCTCTTTCGCCAAGGAGCTACAGGGTTGCCTAATTTATGACGATGCAAGTTTTTGAGGGTCCTCTTTCCGTTAGGTTATGAAGCAGCGTTAGTAAATTACAATTACAGCTACCAATAAACTTAATTGGATACTTTTAGCTTGTTGGCGTTTCAGATTTAAGCTGTTTCGCTTACAAGTACCATTTAGCTAACGGAGCATTAAACTTATGTCTTACTTTTTAACTATGGTTGAAGAACTTTGAAAGCTCTACCAGATTTGATTTTTGACTAACTGATGTTAATAAAACTCACTGAAATTGGCCCCTTCTATTGCCACTCATTTCAGACGTATCTGATGAAGCACACATAATTTCCGATTGCATCGGACCACTGAACCCTGTAAACATTTTTGTAATTTAACTAAAATGAAGCATCTTGTATTTCAGTTTTTTGGGGGTCTGTATCTGCTGCTAGCTTGCATCAGTTAAATTCACTCAGCTGTAATGACTTTGAATATGTGCTGTGCATGTGTTATTGTAATAGCGAAGGTATTGTCTCTAACGCTACATCTGAAAATTGAACGAGTTTATTTAATATATAACTAGCTATGAGAATTGAGAAATCATAAAGTCACCTACACACTATAGCATCTGGTTCTTGATTTTGCACAAGTCATCAAATGAATTCTGAATTTTAGGCACTTAAAACTAGCCCAAAATTGGGAAAGAGCTGAATAGATGAAAGAGATTGTGGCAAGCTTTGTGGATTAATGGGCTGCAGGATTGCTTGTAAACTAGAAAACAACTGCTTTCCTCCCCTCTTGACATCTTGAATCTGACTTACTCGTTACAGAATCTATATAATATTGACAATGATATCATTAAATGAACTTGTTTGCTTTGTTATGCAAAACTTTGCTAGACTATATTTCTTATTATATATGGAATACACAATGTTCATAGATAGTAGAAAAATAATAATTAGCTTTGCTACACTGTCATCTGAAATATGCATCTGTAATTGGACATTTTGTGGCTGCAGTGGTTCTTATATAGAGCATTTTCTTGCAGAAATTTTATCTTCAGGGGAGGTTCGTATTTGGACCGGATGTAAGATCACTGTTGCTGACAATTTTCCTTATTGTTGCTCCTGTGGCAGTTTTCTGCGTCTTTGTTGCCAGAAAACTGATGGATGATTTTTCTGATCACTGGGGGATGGCCATAGAGGTTGTTGCTGTTATATCCACAGTCTATGTGAGTCTCTCTACATGAATTATTTCCCTCTGAATCAATGTACCGTGTGTGATAATATTTGTTTATACCATGAGAAGCATTGCTCTTTAGTTTTGTGTTTCTTGCTTAAAACAATGTACCCTTCAGGCTTCAGGCAAGCTCTTTCAATTACATCTTGTTGATTTCATTTCAGTCTCTGGACTGCCCTACCCAAATATTGGTGGAATTTTATGTTTGTTGAGCTCGTTTGGGTTAAGGGGGGGGAAAAAGCTTGCTTGATCCATGACTTTCTGGAGGCTCTAGTCTAGGATATGTAGATCGACTTGGATAAGACTTGTGTAAAGTACTTGGAACAAACAAAAACCTTATAATTTAATGGGTTAATAGGGTATCAGGTTGGCGCTTATTACCCATTGTGAATTTGTTTTATGTTAGCGGAGGCCATTAGCAATTTAGGACAGACTTGAACATGACTAAGCCCAAAAATTTTTTTGTTTGTTTGTCCCCTTTGTGAATTTGTTTTTTGTTTGTAACAATGAGGAAAATTGGGAGAGGTACCGTATGGCTAAGAAGGAAACTAAGAGAGCTGTGGGTGAAGCTCGTTCTAAAGCTTTTGAAGAATTTTATAAGAACCTTGAGACGAAGGAAGGAGAGCAAAATATTTATAAGATTGCCAAGAGTAGGGAAAGAAAATCAAGAGATCTAGAACAGGTAAGGTGTATTAAGGATGAAGAGGGAAGAATTTTAGTTACAGATGATGAAATTAAAAATAGATGGGAGACTTATTTTTCTAAACTTTTCAATGATGGAGAGGATTCATCTAGTAACTTGGAGGATTTAGTAATTGGTGAAGGAGAACAAAATTTGTCATTCTATCGAAACATACGTGATAAGGAGGTAAAGGAAGCTCTTAAGAAAATGGCAAATGGTAGAGCTAACGGACCTGATTGTATATCTATCGAAGCGTGGAAATGTTTAGGTGAAGAAGGGGTGAGATGGTTAACTAAGTTATTTAATGTGATTTTACGGTCCAAGAAAATGCCTGATGAGTGGAGGAGAAGTACATTAATTCCTATTTATAAAAATAAAGGAGATATTCAGAATTGTACTAACTATAGAGGGATTAAACTCATGAGCCACACAATGAAATTGTGGGAGAAAGTAATTGAGCATAGGTTGAGATTGGAGACAAGTATTTCTGAGAATCAATTTGGTTTTATGCCAGGTAGATCAACTACAGAGGCGATTTATCTACTAAGGGGATTAATGGAAAAGTATCGTTGTAAAGATAAAGATCTACACATGGTTTTTATTGATTTGGAAAAAGCTTATGACCGTATACCAAGAGAAGTGCTTTGGAAAGCGTTGGAAAAAAAGGGAGTACGGATTGCTTATATTAAAGCCATACAAGATATGTATGAGGGGGTAAAAACTAGTATAAGAACGCCTAGTGGTCAAACAAAGGATTTTCCTATAAAGATTGGGCTACATCAGGGATCATCTCTGAGTCCTTATTTGTTCAACTTGATTTTAAATGTTTTGACGGAACATATTCAAGAGGAAATCCCGAAATGTATGCTCTTCGCGGATGATATAGTTCTTATAGCAGAGACAAGAGAAGAGGTTAATTGCAAACTTGAGTTATGGAGGAGGACATTGGAGTCGAAAGGTTTTCGTCTGAGTAGAAGTAAGACGGAATATTTATATTGTAAATTTGATAAAGGACTATTCGAAAATAATTTGGAAGTAAAATTGGGAGATCAAATTATACCTCAAGTGGAAAAGTTTAGATATTTGGGAGCCATTATCCAAAATGATGGCGAAATCAGTGGAGATATTTCACATAGAATTCAAGCTGGGTGGTTTAATTGGAGAAAAGCTAAAGGAGTTATTTGTGACCGTAAGGTGCCTAATAAACTTAAAGGAAAGTTTTATCGTACTGCTATCAGACCGGCAATGTTATATAGTAGTGAATGCTGGGCTCTAACGGGACAGCAAGAGCATAAAGTTGGAGTAGCAGAGATGAGAATGTTACGATGGATGTGCGGACATACACGTAAAGATAAAATTCGAAATGAGCACATACGTGAAAAAGTGAGGGTGGCACCTATTGAGGAAAAAATGGTAGAAAATCGGTTGAGATGGTTTGGGCATGTACAAAGAAGACCAAGGGAGGCACCAGTGAGAAGAGTGGAACATATAACTTTGAGTCCGATTAAGAGAGGTAGAGGAAGGCCTAAGAGAACACTCTTGGAAGTTGTTGAACGTGATCTCTTAATTAATAATATTTCTAAAAGCTTAATAAATGATAGAGCACAATGGCGTCTTGCAATCCATGTAGCCGACCCCACCTAGTGGGATAAAGGCTTGTTGTTGTTGTTGTTGTTGTTGTCCCCTTTGTAAATGTTCACTGCAACAGCAAACACTTGTGGCATCAAGGAACCTAACTGCCTGTCTTTCTGGTTTAGTTTTCCATATGGTTACATCTGAACATAATTGCTGACCAGAAGGTGTTCTGGAAAGTTCCAACTACAGACCGCACTTTGCAAAAACGGGTTAAAAAATGAGTCAGTCAAACATCTCGATTATTTGTGCTGTTGATGGTGGCATACCACAAGTTTGAGTGATCCAGCAATAAATCAACCCTCCAGTAAAACTTGGACGTACTTGTTATTGCAGTATCAGCTCATTTGACCGTTCTTACAGCATCCTCCTTTCACTCCAAAATATAAGCAGCTTTTAGGAAAAATTCGCATACCAATAAAATCCTCATTATCATAAAAAATATGTTATTTTCCCTTTTTACCCTTAGTATCAATTACCAACACACCTCATGATGAGTGAGAAATAACTTTACATAAGGATTTAGGTTATTAAATACAAGGGGTAAAATGGGGAAAATAATTTTTAGATGTACTAGGTTGCTTATATTTTGAGCTAAGATTAGCTGAGGAAAAATGTTTATATTTTGAACCAAAGGAATTATATATTACAACTAATTTTTCTTAATCATTATGCAATTTACAGCTACTTTTTCACCAGACTTATATAGCATATTAGCTTTCAAAAAGCTATGACTTTGGCACCTGGGGCTAGATCAAGTCACAAAGGTAGGTTGGGGTGTGGGTAGATGTCAAGGGTTCAAAACCTTAAAAAAAGAGGGGGAGACAAAGGGCCACAATTGAGTAGTTTTATCCACAGCCATTGACTATTTGCTGTCTTATTACTGTTCGGTGTTTTTGTCTTCAAAACTTTAGGAGGCACTAATTCTCCAATTTCTTGGATTTCATTTTTATTGATCCTAAGCTCTGCCATGCACATACAAATATATTCTTTTGAACTCTATGCTGACTTAATCTTATCAGGTCCTAGGTCTTCTATTCTTAACTTCTGGCAGAGACCCTGGCATAATTCCACGCAATGCACATCCTCCAGAGCCAGAAGGTCTTGATGGCAATTTGGATGTTGGAGCTGGTCGAACTCCTCAATTACAGTTCCCTCGCTTTAAAGAGGTTCAGGTCAATGGCAATATTGTCAAAGTCAAGTATTGTGATACTTGCATGCTCTACAGGCCTCCTCGATGCTCACACTGCTCAATCTGTAATAACTGTGTAGAACGATTTGATCACCACTGCCCCTGGGTTGGGCAGTGTATTGGGCTGGTAAGTTGGATCTTTCGTTTTATTTAGTTGTTTTCTGCCAATTGTGAACCCAGTTTGCAAAAAGCGGCGAATGTTGCTTAGAAGATTGTTGTTTTGGTTGATTAGTTTCTATCGGTTATCATGCTCATGTTATGTAGTATGTGGTAGGAGAGACTTTAATTTATTACGTTCAAAATTGTTGAATGTTTCAGATTCTTGTTTTGGGTTTAGCTGAGAAGGTAAGCATGCGAAATAAATTTATCAAAGATCAGCACATTTTAGTCAAAAATTGATTTAGTCTTCTAAATGGAGATTTTGTAGTCAATAGATAGTCAACAGTACTTTCAAGTTTATTATAGTCAATAGTTGATTTTGTAGAACATTCTAGCTTGTAAATGGAGACTTGAGGTGTTTTTATAATTTTAGAAAATAACACAGACTTATATATTGTTTGGTAAGTTAGGAGAAAAACAAATCTGTAATTGAACTCATTTACTTCCTCAAGAGGTTTTTCTAACCCGCATTAAGTAGCTTCCTATGAACCCCTGTACTAGAAACTTTTTACTTCGATGAGAAGTTTTTTGAGATAAGTTTTTGGAGGATTTGAGTGCAGGCTTAGATAGCATATGATGTTTACTTTGCTTCTTTTTTGTGCTCAATAGGGCCGTGCATGGATTGAGTTTGTCAGTTGGGGGCTATCTTTCAACCCAACCTGACTATGTGCAGGTTGGGAGAATAGTCTGCTTGACACAAACCAAACTCGCCATGCATATGCAGGTCAGATTGTTTTAATTTTCAAAAAAATACAGTTATCTGCTTAAAAAAGATCAAGACACATATAATTGCGGGTTTTAAAGGTGTGCTGATTTTACACAGTTGAAATATTGAAATCTGCAAATTGGGTGACTTGTGCGGGTCTTGTAACTTGATCCAACCTAACTCATAAGCCTGATTCGACTCCATTGATATAGCTGCAGGTTGGGTTGGATTACTTGGATTTGGGAGTTGCTAAACCCAACATGCACTCATAATGCAGTGGTGCATGATTACTGGGTTTCCTAAGGAATTCTATTTCCTCTTTAATAGAGGGGATTTGCTGGTAGCTTTCTTTTGTCATTCACATTTAAGGACTGCTTTTGCTGAGTTTAAGTTTTCTTCGTTGATGAATTATTCATTTCTTTTTGGTATATGACGCGTGGCCAAAAGCAACTATTCATTTCTATTATAAAACAACATTTATTGGTTTAATGACTTTTCGGTTTGTTGCTGCATCTCGTTCTTGAATATCTGTGTTACATTACCTGAACACTTGCTCTATTGTTATGCAGCGTAATTATCGCTTCTTCTTCATGTTCGTCTTCTCAACTACACTACTTTGTATATATGTTTTTGCATTTTGCTGCGTCTACATTAGAAGAATCATGAAGTCAGAGGAGACAACAATCTGGAAGGCAATGATCAAAACACCAGCCTCCATAGTGTTAATAATTTACACTTTCATAGCAATGTGGTTTGTTGGCGGTCTTACTGCCTTCCATTTATATCTTATAAGTACAAATCAGGTAACAACTGCACTTCGGAATTTTCTCTTGGTGCGAACAAAAGTTTTCTCCCAAAATGAACTTGCAGTCACGTGTGTCTATTGCTTCTGCAGACTACATATGAGAATTTCAGATACAGATATGATCGAAGGGCCAATCCTTTTAACAAAGGAGTGTTGAATAATTTCGGAGAGATATTCTGCAGCAACATTCCCCCCTCAAAGAACAATTTCAGGGCAATGGTCGCAAGGGAACTGGCACCACCTGCTAGATCGGTGGGTGGGGGCTTTATGAGCCCAAGTATGGGAAAAGCTGGGGAGGAGGTAGAGATGGGCAGAAAAGCTGTTTGCGGGGACAAGGGCCCTGGAATAGATCATTGTGAAGGTCAATTGATCAATGATCGCTCAACTGTAAAGGAACGTGAATTGGGAGAATTGTCACCTGAAGTAAGGGCCACAGTGGGTGAGGGTGACCGTGTCGGAATACATCCTCGGCGATCCAGCTGGGGAAGAAAAAGTGGAAGTTGGGAAATGTCCCCCGAAGTTCTTGCTTTAGCAGCACGGGTGGGAGAGCACAATCGCGCGGGCGGGGGTAGTAGCAGTAGTTTGACAACCCAGAACCAGCATGCGTAGCCATTCCGCTAAGAATAGCCTGGCTTGTCGGCAAGAGGGGATTTGATTTGCCAGTGATGATCAGGAAGTCTTGTGATATATGGTAACTCTGATGTAAAATCGTTGTACGTGCAATATGGGGTTGTAGCCATTTGCATGCAGGCTGCTTGTAAGTGTTGTTTTAGCCGTTGCCCTATTAGGGGTGGAATTGTTAGGAGTTCTGAGAGTGGTCCTTATTTGGCCTGGTGTTATCTTACATTTACCGATTTATTAGCAATTTGTACCTGTGAAAATACCTAGTGCTCTCCTTTTGGACTTTCGGTTGCAAGCCAATGGGTCATACTGTGGTCACGGGAAAAAAAAAAACAATACTTGGGCGCCTTTTTTTTTTAGAAGAATTTATTAATTTTAGGTTACTTAATCAAACTACAAGATTTAAAGCAATCTTTTTCAATGGAATTAATAGTGTTGAATTAAACATGTCCACATTATGTATTCATTAGAGAATTCTATTGGGTCGAGTGTGTTTGTATAGAACTTAATAAAAGTGTATTTCTAAATTCTAATAAAAATATATAAAAGATTTTTAGGGGAATTACAGAGGCAAGCCTGCATGTAGGAAAATTAGGGTAAAATTAGAACAAAACATAAAGGAAACTAACTGCAACTAAGCTTATCATCCAGCAGCATTCTCCTCAACCCGCAGGAAGTTCGTGTAACCCACACCATGAGCGTTCTTGGCAAGAACATCAGCACAACGTATGCGCTCCCTTTGTGGATGATGCCTGTTATTAACCAAAAGAGTTTCCTTCAGTCTTAGTTCCACATCACCTGTAACTGATGCAAATATGACTCTCTCTATAATAAAGAGGCAATTAGGGCAAGGATGAAACGATCAAGTGGATGGATGGTTCAAGGCTTTTATGTGATTTATTGGCAACTGGTAAGTGGCAATTGCTCCGTGCTTCTGCATTGTGTTTCACTGCTTCTCGGTCGCATGGGGTATATCTCAACCGCCTTTCTTCAGGGCAGAAACTTGGAAATTTACCTTAATCTTGCCTCTCATAAACCCATGCGAGAGATTTTTGGTTAGGCACTGTGATTGATGTTCCAAAGCAGAGGAATAGCAGACGAAATAACGTTTGAAGCTGTGCAGGTATGATTCTCCTTTAGGAAAATGACAAATAAGTCTAAAATGATTGATTAATTTAAGTTATATTCTAAATATTAAATTTTAAAAATTTATAATTTAATATCTTAATTTTATAACTTCAAATTTAAAATTTGTATTTTAAATTTTGATAGAAGAAATAATTTTTTTATTTTTCAATCATATTAAAATTTTAAAAATAAATTATAAATTTATCACAATATAATTATAAAATTAAAAAAATTAAATTATAAATTTTAAAAATTTAATACTTAAAATTCAACTTGAATTGTTCTTGTCATTCTCCCAATCTACTTCACCGTTCCTGTACAACAGTCACGTCACTTGCCAAAAGTCTTCGTAATTCGTATAATATAATGTTAGCCAAGCGCCCGGGATATTTTAGGATAACTCCAGTCACTTACCTTCCGCTTGATTCATCCGTGACATTGACATGATCTTTTGCGAACGGCAAGATAATGCGTGATGATGAGTTGAGGGGAGAAGAGGACATAATTTTTTTGCACTTGTCTTGAAATTTTAATTTTATTAACTGACTTCTCCCGGGACGCTTACTATTTCAATTTCTCGTCAGTGAAAGAATGCAGCTCCGCGGATGAGATCTAATTGTGATTTTGTAACCCCGTGACTGTAAGCAATATTTTTAGTTGAACCAATTGCGGGACCCTTCTTTGACTCGACACGTACTCAGCCCCTGCCTTTATGTTTTATCAGATCATTCATTTTGACATCGGGAGTCGGGCAGACCACTCGATAAACGCAGCGTCAAATCAGAACTTGAAGAGGCTCAAAAGCCTACACGATGCCTACGGATAGGGGTATTCATATCGTAAAATATCACTAAAAATATCGGCTTCAATTTTTCTTTTTTTCTCTCTCTGTTCATCTTCCATCCTCCGTCCCAAACGACATCTTCCTTCCAACACTTTCAAATGTTCCATTGCTTTCCTTCCAGCTCCAGGAGGTGAGGCTGGACCCGTAGAGCCCTGGTCAGCTCGGTTCAGTGCCCGTCTGACCGAGAAGAGTCCTAACGAGTCCCACATCGCACAAGATTATCACTGTATTGTTGTTTATATGTGTTTGCTGAGCGACTGCGTTCGTCCCTTTGGGGACATCCGATAAAATTGGAACGATACAGAGAAGATTAGCATGGCCCCTGCGCAAGGATGACACGCACAAATCGAGAAATGGTCTAAATTTTTTTTTTTTTTGGTGATCTCCATCGTCATCGTCGTGCTTGCTCTGCTTTTCTTTGTGTACTTCTGGGGTGAATGGTTATTATATTTTCTTGCTTCTCCTCGTGTGCTTTTGGTCAATGGCTATTATTTCTTTTTCCCATTTCGTTTTCTCCACACGCGAAGCTTAGCTAAGCAAAGCTCTTTGCCTCTGCTATGTCTTCATCCTTTTCCTTTGGCTGAAGAAAAGGGCTCATGGGCGAAGTCTGATTTACAGCGTATATGAACAATATAATATAATATAATTTTTCCCCCAGATTTCATTGATATATTAATATTAACTATTCCCACCATCTAAAATAAGCGGTACTTTAAAAAAAATTATATACTAATAAAATTTTTATTTTTATAAAAATATATATTATTTTTTTATTTTTAATTTCAATTACTAATTACTAATACATTATATGGAAGTATATTTATAAAAATATTTAAATTAATAAATAAAAAGAAATAAAAGGAAAAAAATTGCATATCTTAAATTATTTATATTTAAAATTAAGATTAGCTAAAAAAATGTTTATATTTTGAATAGGATAGAGTAATAGATTGTAATTGAATTTATTAATTAAATTATTAATTACTTGTTGTAAAAACGTATTATTAGCATTATTTTTTGCAAAAGATTTAATTATAAATTTTTGTGAAATTTGATAGTTGCCATAGAATCTAATTTCCTTGTCAGATGTGTATTTTTTTTATAATAATATTGGCAGTTTGACCCAATCATAATATTGTGTCACCCTTGTTTGAGTGAAAAGGTGTAGCTGGAGCCTCGTCATAAATTAGCCATGACCTTAATTCAGCCTCTAATCCCCAAAACCTCACAATCACGTATCAGAAAAGTCTGTCCTCTTTAATATAATATGAATCCATTAATATACGACTATTACTTTGAAGATTCTGAGTATTTAACAATTTAATAATAATTATATAATTACATAATATTCTCTCTCTTCTGAATTTGAAGGTGTAAGAGCAAATTGTGTATTTTTCTCTCTTGATATTATTGTTATAGAGAGAAAACAATATGTTTAGTACATGTTAACAATGATTAATAGAAGGATAAGTTTTTTAAAATAACTTCAAATATATAAAGTATTTGAGAAATTATGGTTTAAACTCGTGGACCACGTGATTGATGTCCTGTCCAATAAAAAATATTTTAAAATTTCGATGAAAAAATAATACTAGTACAACTGCATTTTCCCCCTATGAACCACATGCTAAAATTAACAATTTAGCAAGGAAAAATTATGTATAAGTTACGTGCTACTTCTTTAAAATTTAAAAACTATAACAAGATCTCTTAAAATTTTAATTTAATTTAAAATTAAGTTATAAAAAAATAATACTCTTATTAAACATATATTACATTAATTAAATAATTAATTTAAAACTACTTCATTAATAATTTATAACTATAATTTTATTTTTTATAACTGTATTTTTACATATTTAATATTTAAATAGTCATATGTTATTAATATACGACTATTTAATATAATAGTCTTTAATATAATATGAATCCATGAATATACTATTATTATTTTGAAGATTTTGAGTATTTAATAATTTAATAATAATTATACAATTATATAATATTCTCTCTCTTCTGAATTTGATGATGTAAGAGCAAATTGTGTATTTTTTTTTTCTCTTGATTTTTTACTATAAAGAGAAAACAAAATGTTTTGTACGTGTTAATATTAATTAATAGAAGGATAAGTTTTTAAAAATAATTTCAAGTATATAAAGTATTTGAGAAATTATTGTTTAAACTCGCGGACCACGTGATAGATGTCCTGTCTACTAAAAAACATTTTATGATTTAGATGAAAAAATAATACTAATGCAATTGCATTTTCTGCCTATGAACCAAATGCTAAAATTGGCAATTCAGCAAAGAATAATTACGTATATACTCCGTAAAGCAGACTTATTTATTAATAGGTCACGTAAAATTAGAAAACCATAACCAGATTATTTAAAATTTGAGTATAATTTAAAATTAAATTGTAAAGACAATAATATTCTTATTAAATATATATTATATTAATTAAATAATTAATTTATAACTATTTTATTAATAATTTATAACTATAATTTTAACTTTTTACTATCATATTTTCACATATTTAATATTTAAATAATTATGTGTTATAAATATATGACTATTTAATATAATAGCCTTTAATATAATATGAATCCATGAATATACTACTATTATTTTGAAGATTCTGAGTATTTAACAATTTAATATTTTTTTATATAATTATATAATATTCTCTCTCTTCTGGATTTGATGATGTAAGAGCCAATTATGTATTTTTTTTCTCTTGATTTTTTATTATAAAGAGAAGACAAAATGTTTATTACATGTTAATATTAACTAATAGAAGGATAAGGTTTTAAAAATAATTTCAAATATATAAAGTATTTGAGAAATTATTGTTTACACTCGTGGACCACGTGATTGATGTCCTATCTAATAAAAAATATTTTATGATTTAGATGAAAAAATAATACTAGTGCAACTGCATTTTCCACCCATAAACCAAATGCTAAAATTAGCACTTTAGCAAGGAAAAGATATGTATAAATTCTATGAAGAAAACTTAATTATCAATAAGTCCTGTGAAATTAGAAAACTATAGTCTGAACTCTTAAAATTTAAGTGTAATTTGAAATTAAGCTGTAAGAATAATAATATTTCTATTAAACATACATTACATTGATAAAATAATTAATTTATAATTACTTTATTAATAATTTATAACTATAATTTTAACTTTTTATAACTTTAACTTCACATATCTAATATTTAAATAATCATTATTATTAATAAAGTTTAATATTAATTGTTTATAATTATTTTATGAGTAATTT